TAAATTATTTTTTAATATTAATTAGAAAAATAAAACTACTTATCAATTAATACATTTATATTTCAAGTAATTATATGATGTAAGTTATAAAAATTACTATAATATAACAAATGTAAGTCGCACAAGTAACATGTGTCATTCTAAGATATATAATTATATATATTTTGTATAAAATTAAATAAAATTTAAAATAATTTATCTCATTAGATTTAAAATTTAAGAATAATATTTTAACAAGCACTCATGTAATATACGGGTGTTGTACTAATAAAAAGCAATGTAACCAAAATATAATATTTAATAATATAAATATATATATATATATATATATATATTTTAAAAAGAATTCTGCTAATCAGTGGACCGTACGTTTGGATTAGGTCATACAAAAAAGGGAAATTTTCATTTATGCTACATGATTTTGAAGTAATTGCAACATTACAATTCATAGCAATTTAATTGTGTATATACCTAATAGATAGAATTTAATTACATTCATGCCTAAAATCAGTTACAAGTAGGTAGAACAACCATTCCATGTTTGTAGGCAAGATTTCAGGATTGGAGATGGAAATATATCATATTTGAATTTCAAAACATATTCTTCACGCAAATTGGAATCCTTTAATTCACGCAGCTCTCATGTGGTATATATTGAGTTTATGTTAGTATATATTCAGTATATGTGCGCAACTGGAATTCCTTAATTCACGACAGCTGTCATGTAGTATATATTGCGTTTATGTTAGTATATTTTCAGTATATGTTGTAATGAAAAAAAAAAAAACGTCTTCCATCAAAAAAATTGTGTCTTTCCTCTTTTTTTCTTTTTTTTTTTCTTTTATTCATAAAAGTATACATATGAAAATACATTTTAATATAAAACTATACATATACACAACACCAACAAAAAAAAAAAATCATAAAAATATACTGAAAATATACCGAAAATATACTGAATATAAACCATACATATAAAAAAATTATCAGTTTATGCTTTGTCAATAAAAATCATACATACATATAAGGTAGCTCATATCGAAAATATACTGAATACAAACCATACATATACCAAAAATTAATCATCAGCTTAGCCCTTATATTATACAGAACATATACTTCACAACATATACCCGCAACTTATACAAAATAAAAACTATCTTCTAAGAAGTTTTTCATCCGACGAGAAGTCCTATCTCAGCGACTTTCATGAATCTCGGCGCCACACCTCACAATTCTCGCAGAAGCAGTTCGAAACATCTCCCAATTTCTCTTTCTATATTAACCATAAAGTACATCAGCGGCATCGAAGATTGAGCTCTTCTTTCACGACGGCGCAAGCTGGTGAATCCCGACCAGCGAGAACCACCAACGTGAACTGCCATCGCAATCGCCTCCTATATAAATTGATTTTATACATAAAAATTTCTTTATCATATACCAAAAATATACTGAATATAAACCATACATATACAACAAAAAAATCAGTTTATAGTTTGTCAAATTCGTTTTCAACAAAAAAAAAAAAA